TTTCTAGTAAGATTTCTCATTTATACAAAGAATAGGTAAAATACAGAATACTCACCTAGTTTATTCAGTGGACCGTGAGAGGTTCAGGAATTTGGTTCTATCATGTGTTGAACAAGCTAAGCATTGAGATTGAAGGCTATCCAAACCCTGTCCACTTGCGGCAGATTCCACCTCATTTTGGTGATTTCCAATTAGAACATTTGGAATGACATAATTAGAAAATAAATTAATTAATTAAATGTGTGTAAGAAAAAGTAATCCAGGTAAGGAAACAAGCAGAAAAAAAAAATTATAAGACATAGTTATTGCAGGAAAACCTCCAGGAGATCATGTGAAAAGGAATCAATTGTCATTAACTTTAGAAGAAAAATTAAAACTTCCAGTTTACACAGGAAGTCAGGTTTTTCTAAGAAATGAATGACAAAATAGTTGCCCCATGGACCCTTAGAAAGGAGCGCTGAATGGTGACAAGGACAATATTTTCAGGAACATTCTCATAGGAGAAAATGGAAATGGGGTAAATACAGCTGATCATGTCATATCCCAATGACTTGGCTGAGATCAGAGTGTGAGTTCTTACGGACTCTTTTGACCACATGTGAATTTCGAATTAATCCCTTTGGGCACTAGGGCTGGTTGGCCCTTAGTTTTTAATGATCCCATCTAATGGCACGCATGCCCTTGTGTGATCTTGGCCCCTTAAGTGTGGACAGGATCTGCGACTTGTTTCTAACCAATAGAATACAGTGCACACGTTGAGATGTTAACTTCATGATAATGCTACATAGGACTGTAACTTCCATCCTGCTTGCAGACTATGGACTCTCTCCCTTGCTGGTTTTTATGGAGTAAGTCTTCTTATGGAGAGGTCCATTGGGTGAGAAACTGAGGGCAGCCAACAGCACTGAGCAAGGAACTGAATCCTTCCCATGTCACAGGAGCTTGGAGGTGGATCTTTTTATAGGAGAACCTCCAAAGGTATCCCAGCTCCAGCCAACACCTTCCCTGGTAGCCATGCCCATGGCCAACACTGTTACTATAACCATATGAGACCTTGAGCCATGCCTGCATTTCAGACCACAGAGACTGTGAGATAATAGATACACATTGTCTTCATCTGGTAAGATTATAGCAACTTCTATATGGGACAATAGATAAGGAGTCTACGATACACAATAAATGGAACACAACTTCAAGATCTGTAAAGCAGGGTGTGTGATTATGCTAGGCTGAATGCACCCCTCTGCCATGCTTCAGAATACCAGGTAGCGTTGGGTTTTGGGTTGTGGTCACCTTTCCAGCTGTGGATTTTGACACCTCAGGCTCTCTTTAGTACAGATGTCAAATTACAGGTCCCGGGTTTATATATGAATAACTTCTCCAATGACTCGAAATTAGAGATGAAATGTGTGTGTGTTCAGGTAATGAGAAAGTCATAAAAACAGAAAAATGAAAGGGAAACGTGTGTATTGTTGGGCTTATGACAGGTGGCATGGGAAAATTCCACTAGCTTCTTTGAGCCTCTCCATGAAGTTTGTCACACAATCCAAGAAGAACCAGTGTTTTATTTTTATTTTTTCTTAAGATTTTATTTATCTGATGGAGAGAAACACACCAAAAGAGGGAACACAAGCAGGGGGAGTGGGAGAGGGAGAAGCAGGCTTCCCGCTGAGCAGGGAGCCCAATGCAGGGCTCAATCCCAGAACTCTGGGATCATGACTTGAGCCAAAAGCTTAATGACTGAGCCACCCATGTGCCCCAAAACCAGTGTGTTTTAAAAGAAATATGCATCCATACTCACAGGGGAGCTGGGGTTCCAGGTGAGGGCATTCAGTAGAATGATGTGTTTTAGAATAACAACAGCTTTAGAGCCCAGAAGTGGGGAGAAATAAGTTCTTCATTTGGTTATTCATTCAACAAATAAGTTCTGGGTTGCCTTCCAAAAACCAGGTCCTTCTAGATGGTGGAGGTAAAGGATGGAGGAACCTAGCCTTACCACCAAACTCACAGTCTAGCATGGATAAGAGCTCTGATGCTGTCTTGTAGGAATAGATCCTAGCATACACTTTACAAACATTGGCTTATTTGATTCAGAAAACAAACGTCTGATTGAAGTTAGGGAGTCATAGGGCAAGCAAAGCGCAAACTGGGATTTGATCCTGAGTTTTCTGAATTTAGAAATTGCTTTTGGCCCTGTTACTGTCTTCTGCCTTAATAAGAGTCTCTAACTTTACACAAGTTATCATGTTACTATAAAACATTCAGAAAATACAAGCAGATCAGTGAACAAAAGCGTTCACGTGATCTCACTGCATTTCTATACAGCTGTCTTTCTGGAACGTTATATTTTTGTGGACAGACGGACAGGTAATTATCTAGGTGAGCCTCATTGGACAAGCAAGTTGTGTTTGATTTTCCAGGCTCTTTGAGGTTTCTTGCTTTGAGGGATTTTTGCAGACAGCTACTTAAAATCAGCAGCTCTTCTTACTCTCTTAAAAGCCTAACCTCGTAGAAAAGATGATGTTTCCTTATCTCATAGAAAGAAAGAGAGGGGTTATCTTAACTGATCAAAAGGAGAAAGAAGCACTTTCTGGACAGTTAAGAGATTTAAAAAAAAAAGTGATAGCCCTTACTTAGAGGGGTGAGGCATGGTGGTGGAGATGGGGAGCCCTCAGAGAAGGGAAGCCGTGGGTTTCACCAGTGAGGCTGGAGCCCAGGCACAGGGCCAGCCCCAAACATGGCACAAAAACCAACAGCACCCTCTGCATCTAAGGGACTACAGAGCCATATGCCTAGGGATATAGCATGGAAGAAAGAGTGTTTGCCTCAGCTAATGACTGTCACAATGACCTGAGGGGTCCTCCCAATAATTTGGGACCTTCAGACCCAGGGATTCCTCCACAACTCTGAAAAGGAGAAAACTCCAGTTATGGATGAGAGAAAACATTCTAAAAATATATATTCTGCACTCTAGCACCAGGGGTGTCGGGAGATGGATGGTGGCACTTCTGACACCCCTGACTTTATGAGCTAGCCACAAAACCCATGTTAGCCACAAAATCCATGCTTCCTTTGCCAGTTCTGCCAGCATTAATCTAGAGAGTATGGTCTAGTGGACACTTCTGAAGGCTACTAAGACCGCCAAGGCAGGATCTCTTCACTTGTAGTCTATTGAGACTTTAATTTTGACATCTAGTGAAAACCATGCCCCTTTCTCTGCATGAAAGAGAAAGCACTTTTAAGAATTATATATATCAAGTGTCCAGTGAATCCAGACAATGTCTTTCTCAATTTTACAAGTAAGAGTCAATCAGTCAGTCTTCTCCAGAGAAATAGAACTGGTAAGACAGACATATAGATGATAGATAGGTAGATAAATTGATTGATAGATATAGAGATGAAGAATTATTTCAGGGAATTGGCTGACATGATTATGGAATCTGGCAGGGCAAATCCTAAATTTAGGGCAAACCATCAAGCTGGAAACTCTGAGGCAGAAGTAGATGCTACAGACTTGAAGCGGAATTTTGTCTTCCTCTTGAAGACCTCTTATAAGGCCACTCAGTTGAATAAGGTCACCCAGATGATCAAAGATAATCTTTACTTAAAATCAACCAATGATAGCTATTAACATTTCTAAAATACCATCACAGAAATACATAGATTAGTGTTTAAGTGAAAAACTGGGTACTGTAGCTTACCAAGCTAATATTTAAGACTAACCAAGTTGATACATAAGACTAACCAAGTTGATAGATAAAACTAACCAAGTTGATACATAAGACTAACCATTCTACACAGGAACTGGGAGACTAGGAGATCTGGCAGCTGACCTGGAGCTCACCAGGTGGAGGGAGGGAGGGAGGGCAGGGTGCACATAGAAGCAGGAAAGCACAAGGTAGGCTTTGTGGAATGCTGAGCTGTCCTATGCAGCTGAAACCAAAGAGGAGGGGAGATGAGCTGAGAGCAAATTGGGACTTTCAGGCCAATGAGTTGGGCAATGGAAAGTCCCCACGGAATTTTTCTTTATAACTTGATCAAATTCAAGATCTAGAAAGGCGAGTCTGGGGTCACTGTGGGCAATGATGGGGGAGTAGGTTTGGAAGGTTTAGAGGAGATATGATGGTCTGAATTCCAGCACCAGCAGTGAGGACAGAGGAGGAAGACAGGAGTGGGAAGGTACAAAAGAGCGGACTCCATAGGCCTCGTGGACCTCGGTGCCAGTCACCCACCGTGTTATTTCCTTCTCTGCTTAGACATGCTTTTTACCCCTTTGCCAACCCTGCTATGTTGAGCTATACCGAGACAGAGCAGCCCTGGCCATCTCCAGTAGTGGAGACAACATATGTAACAATATCATGGCTACACTTGTCTAGAGAGCCCTGAACCCAACATACGGATATATACCAGCAAAAACCACACACATGCACACGCACACACACCATCGTTCACTGCAGACTGTTTCCCCCACATTTTAGTCTCACCTAGGTACCTGTGCACTCGGGAGGCCCGGAAACAGTTTCAGAGTCTAGCTTTTAAAGCCATAACTAGAAATACAGCCTTTTTCTCTTCACAAAATGGCATAGCAGTACTTGAGGGTGTATGGTGAGTGGGTTGATAAATACCTTGCATCCTCAGTTCGATTTCCACTACAATGCCTTGAGCCTTAACTCAGCAAAGCAAGAAATTCCTGTTGGATCAGAGTCTGATGGGATTTACCTTTCTCCAGGGTTTTCGCCACAGCTGCTACTCACAGTAAAGGCGATGGTCCCTGAATCTGAGACCCAAGAAGTGCCCTCAAGATCGGCCATGTGTGGAACTGAGTCCCACCACCACCCTCACACCAATAGGAAAATCAGGTGCTGAAGTCCTGACCTGAATGCATTTCCCCCTGTCCCACTGTCTCAATACCTTCATCTTTCTTCCTAAGCACACCAGATGATACCAAGATTTCTTCCACCTCCCTTATCTTGGCCTTCAGAGAAGAAATTCGACATTTGTACACACCAGTTTGAAATACTTTTATTCAACATGGTGTGGGCTGAGCACACGTGCCAAATTCTGAGCTAAGCACCAGGGATCCAGAAATGCATGAGAAACAGTGTCTTGCCCTCCAAGAGCACAAGAGGAAGAGCCATCACGACACTGAAGAGAATGTAGCCTTAGCCTGGAATTGGAAAGCAAGTAAATGTGAAATGGGGTTGGCCATGAGCACACATTATGGAGAAAACATGGCAGGGCTAACATTGCACATCAACAGTCTGGGGACTAAAGGGCTCCCTTGGGACTAGCTCAAAAGTTGGGGAGGAGCCTAGACTGAAACCTCCCCCAGGGGTCCAAGTGATGGTGTCCCATCTGGATACTCCTGGTCATTCCCAATCGAAGGCAAGGGGGAAAGGAAATGGGACTGGTGTGCTACACTATTCGCCTCCTCCATAATGACCAATGGAGGGACTTTGGTGTGGGAGTACTATCAGGTCGGGAATTCCTGACCGTCAGGGACAGTAGTATGGGGGAAGCAAGGTGTTTCTCCTCAGTGTCACCTGAGTCAGTGGGCTATGCACTTGTGTGGAGTCAGATGGCTCCCTCCCCTTCGAGTCTTTTGGCTTCTTCATTGACCTGAAGGTCAATCTTTGTCTGTGAACGAAAGAAAAAGAGGAGGCTAAGAAGCAGAAAAGTACTCAAAGATGTCAGAGGGGAAGAAAGTGAGTTAGTGGAACAATGATTTCTGAACTTACTTTGTGGCACCCATGGAAAAGATTAAGTGAAGAGCACATTGGGGTACAGGGATGTTTGGCCAAGGCCCATCCAGCTGCCCTGTGGACCATGTGCACCAGGATTCTCACACCCATGACCCATACTGACGGAAAAGCTGAGGAGACATGGCTTCCACCAAAAGAGACGAAAGAACGAGAGGAATAATCAAAGATGGAAATAGAAACCTAAGTCATGGAGATCACCTAGGACAAGGAGTGCCCAAGGCAAGATTCCAGAAGGCAGAGGCTGAAGAGAGGGAGCAGATCAGGCAGGGAGAGGCTGTCTCCCTCAGAAAGTCACCTCTGATTTTTAATTCCTAAGAGCAGCAGGAAAAGGGAAAAACAAGTGAGGCTGTTCCTCTGGCCCCTCTCTGTCCTGGCCCCATGCTGTTCCTCTCACCATCCCAGGCAGCAGCCCTCCATATTCAGTTAATGGAGAGGAGAGGAAGAAACGAAACTCAGGGTTGGCTTTTGGGAGGCTGACTCAGCTCTGCTACCTACCTTCCTTCCTCCATAGGCAACACTGGGCCCAGGAGGCCTCCACAGCTCTCCCTGGAAGGCCTTCCAGCTGCAGGGACATGTCATGGCTTCTGGGAACTGTTGCTTGGAGGGTCTATGATGGGGGAGAAAACAGAGGCATCAGGACATCCCTACGATATAGGGAGCCTGCCTGGAGCCAGGGCTCTGTGGGCCAACCTCATGCCTGGGTACCCCTATCCTTACAAGAGGCTCCTGGCTAACTTGAGGAAGTAAGACCTCTGGGCTGGAATCCTGCCAGGCCCATTTAGGAAATCTGGGGTGTGTTTTCAGATGCTTTCTCTTGCCCTCCCAACCTGCTCAGGAACACAGCATATTTTTCTGCCTTTACCACCCCCAGTATGGCTTTACCCCAGCTGCTGGTCTGAAGAGGGTGTTGACAACTTGCATTGAAGGACACAGAATGCTGGCCGCTTGGAGTGTGTCTTTCCCACAAAGGAATGGTGGTTCAATAGAAGCCTGTTCTCCATCCCAGGAAGGACTCTAATGCTGGGGCATCACTTATCTGAGCTAGGACGGCATCTGGAAGAAGGGAGTACTTGGCAAAGGCAAGAGTTTTCCCAGGCCCCTGAAATCCCACCCAGAACAGCTCATGCAGCCTTCCTTCGCTGATACCCAGACGGCCCCCAAGAAGCCGGGGATCTAACAAGTTTCAGATGCAGTTCCCTGAGCTCAGTGGGAGCAGAGCAGCCTAGGCAGAACAAAAGGTCTGCATTGAGCTATTTTAGAAGTCCCGACTTCCAGAGAGTTCTGCGAAATCCAGGAGCTGCATGGGAGAAGTGGACGTTCAACTGGCCAACTGTCGCAGCACACTTAGAGCCCTGAGAAGCGGCCCTGGAAACCCCAACGGAAGCAACTGCCACTGGAGATGGGGGAGGGGCTGGCAGCCCCAGAGGCCACTGGTCTCCTCCACTGGCTCACTCACTCTCCTGCCCTCCTGAGGAAAGCAGAGGTTCTTGGACCTGAAGGGAGGATGCTCATGGTTCCCACCTCTCTTAGGGGAAAACCAGGGTTCAGAGAGACAACTGGGTAGCCTGGGAACCAGCACAGACACCCCTCTTCAATTAATAGGTCCAAAAAAAAAAAACCAAAAACTGTTCCTTTACACAAATATATACAGTTACATAGAGATAGATTACCGGATGGCTGCCATCTACCAGAAGCAGGTTTGCTAGCACTAGGAGGTGAGTGAGGATGATGGTCCGGGCAGCTGACACTGAGCTCAGGCCTTAGGCATAGCAAAGGCAAAGGGAAGTGGGGACTGCTGGGGAAACAAGGCTGTCTGGGCTGGGTCTGCTAAATCTTGCTCCCCTGCTGACCCTAACCACCCCTGACCCACCTGAGCCCCAGTTATTGTGAAAGAGAACCATCGAGAGATGACTCCGCAGGAGGAAAGGAAAAAATCTCAAGGGCAAAGTGTCAGGGATGGGTTTGGCCGGGGAGGGGGAAAGAGACAGAGAAAGTTAGAGATAAAGCAGAAACTCTTGGCAAGATGGGACAGTGACCCTAAAAGGGAGGGGAAATGAAGGGAAGTCAAAAGGAGCAGGGTGGGTAGGTGAGGGAGGAAAAGGGAGGCAGAAAGATGGGAGCCTAGGGAAGGCCAAGTCCAGGGGCAGCACAGGGGGGAATGAAGGGCAGAGGCCTCTCTGGCACTGGTCAGAGCACTGACCAGGGCTGGTGGGGGGTGGCTTGGGACCTGGGAGGTGTCCTCTTCCTTCCCAAGTCATTGCTGAGAGGGAGGCACACAGAGGCAGGGAGTAAAGGGACCAGCAGAGCACAGACAGGAGGGGACAGAAAGCCCAAAAGTGCCCTTCTATTGTCTATGTCCCCTCATCCCATCTTCCAACTCTCCCTCATGGAAGCCGAGCCCCAAAAACAAGGGAAAGGAGGAGAGAACCAGATGAGGTGGGGGTTGGAGGGTGGCAACTAGGGATCCTTTCCAGAAAGAAATTAACAGCTTAACAGTAATCAGTTCAGTGACCAGGAAACACCCCTCTAATGGTGGAGAGTTAAGCATCCAGTATGGAACCCTGGGAGTGAGGGGTAGAGGTGGGCGAGGGGGCCTTCTGAACCCCTCACACCCCAGCCTGAGTCACCCCTCCAGGGCACACTAGGGGAAGTCAGGTATGAGAGAGACCTGGAAATAGCTCCTAAGCTGAGGAAGACGTTGAGCTGACGCCTCTGGGAAGGCTGCCTGAGGAACTGTGGGGTTCAGGGAATAGATAAGAGAGAGGGATGCCGAGGCATGTTCCTTCCTCTGAAAGCCCCTGCCAGGCTGCTCAGGGAAACCTTAGCAGGAGCCATTGACACTTTTTCTTCCCTCCACCCTGCTAGTGGGAGAGCTCCTTCTGGCCTCCTCCAGGGGTGCACCAGTCGCCAGCCTGGAGACAGGCCACAAACAGGAATGGAAACTGGAATCAGAAGTCTGGGGAAAGGAAGTGGTCTCAAGGAAGCGAGTCTGTGGCTCTCCACATATCTCAGTGAGCACCAGCCCAGCAAGAAGATTTGGAACCGGATTTCTCTTCAGGCAAGGGCTCAGGGGCACCTAACTCTGGTGTTGCTGGCATGTGCTTCCCAGCAGACATGGATGGAGGGCTTTGTGGGACAATCCCTTCAGAAGACTGTCCCAGTAAACCAGCTGTCCAATGGCCCAACTACCACGCATCTTGGCAGGGGATGGCATCCTTCTTGGGGTGTGTCTCACTTCCCTTTTGATTATCCTTTTGCCAGTACCCTCTGGTATTTGTTCAGTGTTTCACCCATGCATACAGTCATTGCTTTATCAAATCTTTGTTTGAGTTTTACTAGGCAATGGGGATACAAAGATGAATGAGACAAAGTTCCTGTATTCAGGTATCTTCATCCGTAGTGAGAAAGGGCACACTGGCATGCTGGGAATGGAAACAGAAATGCAAGGCCCGGCCTGATGGCTTGGGTCTATACACCCTGTGGTCATGGCCTGCACACATATAAGCATTCAGACAAAATGAACATTAGAGAAATGCCAGAGGGATCCTCTCAGTCAGGAAATATGAAGGATTCACTGTGACCAGTGAGGAAGTTGGAAGCTAGACTGTTCTTTGCCAACTCAGAAGTAGAGTCTAAAAAAAAAAAAAAACAAACAAAACCAAACACAAAAAATAAATTAAAAAAAACCCTACACACTCATCCATGTTATTAGGGTCCTCATCTTGAGCAGCACTGATGTTGGGAAAAGGAAACCACTCAGGACTTTGATAGTCTGTGGGAGTGGTGACTAAGAAAGCCATTGAACATGACTCCAAATGCTGGAGACCCAAAATGTGTATAGAGTTCTGAGGGTGGCATGGACTTGTCACGGACAAGGGTCAGATGTTTCCTGAGACCAGTGCAGGACTAAGGAAGGGAAATCCCCCAAATCTATGCTTTGTGGATGTGAGTGCTCACAGGGGCTGGGATTGTGTCTGGAAGCTGCCTCTTTGGTATCGTCAGCCAAAGGGCAGAAGCCATGGGCTGGCTCCAGGGAAGTGATAATATCCCAGGTGATGGCCAATAGGGAGTCTTAGAAATTCACAGAAGGAACCAGGGAAAGGTGGGGTGACATTGGAGCATCACCAAGATGGCACTTTCTTGCCATCAGAAACAGGGCCTGGCAGGAAAGGAAGTTGTCCCTCCCTCAGCAGGGAGGATAGGAGGACAGACTAGACCCAGCTGGGCCGGCCTGCTCCCTCCCTGTCACTCCTGCCTTCATCCATCCCTTCTGAGAAAGAGGTCCAAACAGAGGGCTGTTTGACCAGTCTCAAACCCTGGAGAACCTGGGACTTTGGAACAGGGTGGGGCAAGAAAAGGAGCTAGAATTGCTGAGGCCTTAATCTGCAGAAAGAAATTAAGGGAGAAAGTGCAGAGCTGGGAGATGGACCAAAGAGAAAAGAATCATCCTTGAAATGTCATTATATACAAAAAAGAAGATGAGAGGGAGTGTTGCTTTGGGGGATCAGAGTCAGACGGAAATGAGGGCAAGGACAGAGGTGACCAAGGAACCAACTGGCTGGACCTTGCCCAGGGAAGAGAGCTGTAAGGGAGCGGAGCCTTCGAGATGGGTGTAGAGGCTGGGAGGAGGCTAGAATAGCCAAGTGGACCAGACACTGAGTTGGCAAGAAAAACTTTCCTACCAGGAGCAGAGATGTAGCCATGTTCCGTGCTATCTGTACAGACATGTGCTTCATCTTTGTGACCCCTGCTCCGAACTCAAGACTAGCCTCTCCTGGAATAAATACTGATGAAAAAAAAAACAGAGAAGGCTGAAGTGAGCAGTCCATGAGCTGAAGGTAGCATTGTGCAGGTGTTCCTTGGAGAGAAGCTCATCTCTAGCCTACAAGTGACCACTCTGGAAACCGCTGGGACCCCCTGTTCTGGGCCAGCCCCAAAGAAAGCAGCAAGTGTCTTTCCAGAGCCTGCCTCCCTCCCAACCCTGTCCAGGTGCCCTCAATGGGGACAGCTGAGTTTTCCATCCCATAGTCAGAGGCCCCACAGCCTCTTAGCCCAAGGGGTGTCCTCCAGCTCTGAAAAGAAGAGGACTGGCAGCCCTCATGCTTTTCTATTCCAACCCAGAAAGATCCCATCTTGACGACTGCCTGTTTCCCACTGATGAGAATATAAGTGGATAATCCAAGGGAAGAGGCACATTTGGGACTGGCCAAAGTGGGGACATTGGGCCATTTCCACAGAAGCAAGGTCTTGGATCCCTCCATCCTTCTGAAAGTTTCCCTCTCTCCTCCCCTTAAGCCCAGGAAGCCCTGAGAATCCAAGGCCTAAGGAGATTCAAATGGAGGTTGGCACACAGCCTGGGGCCAGCAATTGGAGAGAAAAGCTATCTTTCACAGGGGGAAGTGTTGGAGGTTGTGTGTCCAGGAACTACATGGAATAAGCAGTTTCAGTGTATGCAATTGAGGCTGGGCCCTGGGAGCCCTAGGAGCCCCTGCTCAGAGTCATTGTCCTGTCTGGCCCTGTCTGCCTTCCAGCCCACTTGCCCTGAGAGGAGAGCTGCTGTGGGCTCAGGAACCCTTTCATGTGGGACCAGGTTCCCCTGCTCCTCATGCCACAGAGCTTGCTGACTCCAGGGCACTCAGTAGAGACCAAAATTAACAGAAGACCCAAGATGCCCCATGGCACGGTAGCTGGGAAGGGTGGGGCCCTTGAAGATGGTGAAATCCCAATTCAGTTCAAGAAGTGAAGCAGCAGCCTGGGTCGGGGTTTAGGTTGATGAATTCTTGTCAACCAGCTTCCCCAGGCGACTTTCTCTGGATCAGCTGCTTTGACTATTCGACCTGCCATGGGGTCTCCATGATTTCTATCTCCTTGGCATGGAAGCCATAGATACCTTGCCCTTGGCTTGGACTCCCAAGGGAGGGTCACCCAGAATGTTCCCACATGACCCTATTGAGTAGGTGGTGATGAAAC